CCTAATGTAAACTATGGACTTTGGGTGATCGTGATGTGTCAATGTAGGTTCATCAATTGCAACAAATGTCCCACTCTGGTGGGGATGTTGCTAATGGGGGAGGCTGTGCATGTGTGGAGGCAGGGCGTTTATGAGACATCTCTGTACCTTCTCAGTTTTGCTGTGAATTTTAGAATGTTCTTTAAAAAAATGTCATTGGGGAGTGGGGGGTTAGAGAGTAACCAAAGGACTTATATGCATGCATATTAGCGTAACCAATGGACACAGACACTGGGGTAGTGGGGGCTTGCCCAGTGTGGGAATGACTTGGGGAGGGGGGGTCAAGTGGGGAAAAAGGAGACATATGTAAAACTTTAGGCAATAAATAATTTTTTTAAAATGTCATCTCTTTAAAAAAAAAAAAAACTGTGGGCATATGTATTAATGTGTAATGGCTGCCATAACAAAACATCACAGACTTGGTAGCTTAAACAACAGAAATTTATTCTCACTACTCTGGAGGCTGGAAGTCTGAGATCAAGGTGTCACAGGGATGGTCTCTTCTGAAGCCCCTCTCCTGGGTTGACAGAGGACTGTTTCTTCCTCTGTCTCACTGAAGGATCTTAAATCTTACCAGACAGCCTCTCAGAGGAAGTTGTGGGAAAGGAGCAGGACATGAGTTTTTTTCTCCGTTGCCTCATTTAGTGGTGCCACTCCTTGACTGTTTCCCAAGGATCCCATATCTCTTTGGAAACCAATTCTCCACTCCCCGAGCAAAGTTACCTCTTGGAGAGCTGGTTTGGGAAACCAAACACCAAATAAAAGCCACCCCTTCTGTTTGTAATGCAAACTTTCATCCACACCTCTTAATGGAATGAATTGGATGTGGGAGGGTGGAAAGAGATGATAAATATCACCTGGCCATATAATGCAGGTGAAAAATGGATTTCTCAGTGTGAGTACAACCACTGAGTCACTGAGTTGTATCCAAGATGAGAATTAGCAAGAGGAAAGATTCCTAGAAGAAAATTTATCTTTAAGCTGAGTTCCTAAGGGCTAAGATATTTCTGCTTAAGGTTCATGCCTGGCATGTTATATCTCTAATCCAATTGATCCCATAAATTCTATGTTGTTGTTGTTGTTTTTTGCCAATTTTGTATCACATGGTAATTTTTGGAAATGTATATGTCCTGATATTGCACAAGTGATTAAATGTAGCACCATATTCTCCTTAATATGCACTGAAAAGACGAGGAGCTTAGGAAAATGTGAAAAAAGAATGGGGACTAAATGTAATCAATTTAAGGGAATTATTCATTTAACCTTATTATAGTACCAAATAGATCTACTGAACTAAAGGCAATAATTTGGCTTGGAATTGCATGATGCTTTGGAATTGCTAGATCTTTGGATTGAAAGAAATAAAAATTGTTTTATAGTCAGGAAGAAAATGTGGGTCAATAAATTAATGCTCGGGAAATTTTATAAATCTGGAAATTAGATTGATTTCTCTCACTATGAACAATTTATTTTAATTTTATGAAAAGAGCATAATTTTTAATTGACTGGAAAATTTTATCACTTGAATAATTACTATATGAAACCAATCCCTGTCTTGTTTCTCAACTATCAGTACTAACAGTTTTGAAAGTAGCCCTGCAAAGAGGAACATACTTGTTTTGTGTGTGTTTTGTGAAAAGGGATGACTAAATGGCTTTTGTGACTTCTGTTTGATCAAAGTGCTCTACCCACACCGGCATGGATATTTTCAGCCCCACTGAATGGTGTGCTGTTTAATATCAAACTGGTGATAGAAATTTCACTGAGCATCTTTGAAAGACAGTAGTGCTGTTTGCCAAATATTTCCAGGTTCTCACTTTAGCAGTACACAGTAGGACTGCATTCCTGGACCTCCTGTGGTCTGGTCAATGAATTCAGGTAGATTGATAACAGGGTTGATACCCAAGAATGTCGTGGTATCAAAGGGGATGTCCACCTTGAATGAACTCACACATGAACATCTTGTGAAAGGTAATTCTTTCCATTTTTATTTCTAAAATAATAACCAGACTCTTTTATGTACAGTGGTTTAAACAGACACACACACAAACATAATAATAATACCTAAAATAATATTTTTCTTGTTTCACAAATGAGAAAACTAATGTTCTAAGAGCTGAATTAATTTTACTCAAGGTCTAAAATAGACTACAATAATAAACAAGTTAAAAAGTCCTCTTATTTTTCTTCTGTTCCCTATCTTTAAGAAACCTGCATGATTTAATTTTCTCCAAAGTAGATTCAATGTTTCTCTTGCCACCTCACCTCCCACTCCCCCCTCAACCCTACCCCTGAAACAGATCTAACCCGGTCCCTCAACATGTGCAGGATCTGTTCAGAGTGGTGGATGGCTGAGCCCAGGGAGGCAGAGAGTAGGCCTCAGGAACAAAAGTTGATCAAGTCCTGCGGGGCCTCGATAGCCCCAGGCTTTTCCAGAGTTTATAAAATAGCTTGCATATTGAGTCTTAATCTTGCCAAGGTTGACCAAGAAGCCAGACTCTTTCAGGTCAAGGGTAGGTCAAAAGGTTGGTCAGTAGATAGTTTCCTTAAAGCCTAGTCACCAAATGTTAGCCTCAATGTTTCCTCAGCAAACATTAACACACTGAGATTTTAGGTGTTGCTCCAGGCAAGAAGAGAAGTCTCCCAAGGAAGCCAACCTGTCTCATCTCATGCCAGCCCTTCTCCTGAAATTCAACTCTCAGTCCAGGGCAGGGAGCATCCGTGAGAAATGGGAAAGCCTAGGCAAAACGGTGGAAGCTCTAGTTAACAGAAAGAATATGGCTGGTGTCTATTAATCACTTAATTTGAACCAGGCACGACTCTACCAGTTTTTAACGTATTAACTCACTGACTCCACAAACCATCCTGGGCTATGCGTGTACTATCACTAGACTTATTTTACAGAGGAGTGGATGGAGGCACAGGGGTATTCTGCAATTCCCCTGAGCTCACATAGTAGACAGGCTAGCCTCCCAGCTTTACTGGTCTGTGCCTTAGGCATTCTCCATGCTTCTCCCTCAACCTTAAACTCAGTGCTCAGTGCCTACTCGCCCTTCTCTATTACCTAAGCTTGGTCTCAAATAACTCTGCAGCTCTGAACTTACAACTTTACATAGAAAACAGCATTGCTTCTCTCCAGGTTATTTGTTCAATGTCTCATTTCTCACGGTGGAATGAAGAGTTCTGTAATCTTTTAGGTGAATTTCAGGCATAAGCAAATATGTGGAAGAGATTTTAGAGGAACAGAACCTCGACCCTGAAATCACACTGGGTGAAACTGGCTGTGTTCAGGTCACATTAAAGGACTACCCTTTATATAAATGGCTGAGGGTTCCAAGTGGCTGTTGCCTCATCATAAAAATGCGATCCAGTCACCTCCCAGGATGAGGCCCCCAAATTAGAATCTACTCCTGAAGCAAACCCTGGTTTTCATATCTCTGCAGTCCATCCCTGACCCTGGGACCTCCTGTCCCAGCCATGCTTCTAAGAGCAATCTCACCTGAGGTCACTGGGATCTGAAGAGCTTCCACTCATGTTCAGGGGGCTCAATTCTCTGCAAGTTCACTTCTGACCTCCCTCCTCATTTCTTGCCACTGGAATTTTTCTCACCTTCTGAGAACCCCATCAATCTTTTATTTTTGTATTCTGAATTCAGGACTGAAATACAACCTTTTCCCTGTGGTTTAGCCTTGTCCTGGACTGCGATTCTGCCTTGAGCTTACCATACACCCCATGTCACTGAGCTGTAACTCTACTCTAAACACTGGGGATGAGCCCCAAACTCTCATTTCTGCTGAAAGACCTCCCTCATGCTGCCAGCTCTCCATTCTGGACTTGGAAGAATCACTTAGTATGAATTTTCTGTCCCTGGCCTCTAATGCTTGTTGGGCCCCAGCATGGTCTGCCACGGTGCCAGCGTTGTTCCTGAACCCTACTGGTATCACATGCATCCAGATGTGAAAGCATAGTCCCAATTACAATTCATTAGGCCCTGGGCCATGAGAGGAGGATATGCCGAAAGAATGGAATCTTTAATTCATCCCCCACCTCATAGGTTCAAAAATAGATTTTGAAAAATTATGTGGATTTCTTTGGGGAGAATTGTTAGTGCATTCTTACCTCTTTCCTACACTTCCTCCTAATATGGGTCTAAGCCTTGTGCACATCCCCAGTTCTACTAAGCAGTGTAGTTCCTGATCTTAGCTTCTACTGGTTTTTTTTTCCAACTTTTACTACCACCATTAGCTGGGTGTAAGACTGCAACCATGCTCCTCTTCTCTAGAATGGCTGCCCAGGAGGAAGGGCCTCCAGCTGAGACAGTCTAATGAACTCCCTAACAGCTCAAGCTGAGACCTTAATGGAAAGGTCAACTTTAAAAGATCGTCTGAACTAACTCTCAATGAATGGCTAATCAATACATGTGATAATAATATTCCACCATGGAGGAACCCTAGAGGCTAGAAAATGGGCAGAGGTGGGGAGAGTTAAACTTTGTGAAGTTCTACTAAATCCTCCCTCCTCCCTTTTAAAGTGCTCAGATAAAAACCCAAATGTAAAGATGCTTAATTAAGAATAATATGCCAGTGTTTCCCTCTGGTTTCCCAGCACCCACATATGCCAGTCAATGTGTATAACAAAGCCCTTCTTACTCTCCCTCCCTCTCTCTGGACACCAGCACATCAGGTTTTTAGAAGCTGTAACAGAGGAAGTCCCTTTAGGGTGCTTTAGTTCCCTAAGATTTGCCTTTGCCTTGCCCCATTGCTGAATATATGGGCCATGACTCAGAACGGAAAGGAATGTAAAAGAGGATGTGCCCTGACCGGTTTGGCTCAGTGGATGGAGCTTCGGTCTGCGGACTGAAGGGTCCTGGGTTCGATTCTGGTCAGGGGCATGTGCCTTGGTTGCGGGCGCATCCCCAGTGGGGGTTGTGCAGGAGGCAGCTGATTGATGTTTCTCTCTCATCGATGTTTCTAACTCTCTATCCCTCTCCCTTCCTCTCTGTAAAAAATCAATAAAATACATTTTTTAAAAAAGAGGATGTGCTTGTTGCCAGGTGGTTCTTAAAAACAAAACCCGAGACCCATCAACATCCATGAAGAAAGGCCATAAACTCTCCAAGACGAAACCTTACCAAGACTGATCATTCCTGCCCTCATTCCCCTATTACTGCTCAGGCTTTAGCCTGCCATTTTGTGACTTGTTCTTCCTTCATGGATGCCTAATATTTGTTTTCCCTTGTGTAGAAATGTCTCATAGGTTGGCTGTGAGTAGACAGCTAGTTTGATGCAACTCCACCCACGCCCCCTTAGGAATGATTCTGGCCCTAACTTCATTATGGAGGGACAGGCTTGCTGCTTTGTGATTTTAATCAACGAAGTCTTCCTTCTGGACAATCCGTCTATTGTAAGGGTCACCACTCACTGCCAAGATGGAATTAGGTGTGTGAGCGCCTAAGGGTGTATCCTGTATCAGTGCAGGTGTGATGGCAGCATCCGCTCATTGAGGACAGAAACAAGTGTGCTTTGACTTGGATCTGTAGGTTTTAAAGAAGATGTGCATATTTTCATTTATGTGCTGGTCGGTCAAGACGTTTCTGTTCTCTGGAGGGTACGTCCATCTATTCCCTTCCCACCTCACTCCAGCATCGCTGAGTAGGGAAGAGCGTGCTCACAAGGGGCACTGAGTGGTCTGTCACAACTTGCAGGTGAAGGTTCTCCTTGAGTTTTTAATACTCACATCTCATCTTCAACGATTCATTAATTTAGATCCATTGGTTGGGCTTAATGATGCATTCTAAATAGGAACAATAGTAACAGTGATATCAATGAGTAATTGCATTGACACAAATACACATATATTTATATGCATGTGTGTGCATACCTAGACATTAAACATGTAAAAATGAAGACACGCAGAGAAGGACCTACATGACACAGTATTAAGTTACCATTTTTCACTGAATCTAACTTTGGAAGCTACATCATTATTTTTATGTTCCACCAAGAAAGAAAAAGAAGTTGCCAATTAAACTATAACATGCCACTAATTATAATATACATTCCAATTTCAGAAATGTTAAAAGGTGAAGAGAATGTCTATCATAGAATTGGTGAACTATGTTAAAAGTTATACTCAATACCAGCTAACTGTTAATGCTGGTTCCTAATGTGTCCAGAAACTTGTTTATTTGTTTGTTTTTAAGGAAGCAGTTCTTGTTGAGAAACTGTTAGTTGAATGAATGACTTCTTTCTAATTAACATAGCAATGGTAGCAATTGTAGTTGGTATCTTAAAAGACAGATAGCTTGGACAAAAGTCATCTTCAAGATCTATAAGAACACAGACACATCAATCCAAGGGAGTATGGTTTACTAAAAAAGTCCTGAGCAAGCAGAATGTTAATTTCCATGGTTTGCTGGGTGGCTTTGGGCAAGTCTCAAGTACTCTGAGCCTTGGTTTCCTTACCTATGAAATGAGTAAACTGACTTATTTCTCATTTCCACCCACTAGCATTTTATGAATTTATGATACTGGGTCCATGTTTTCCCAACTTAGTGGTCCAAATGTCAGGTTTAAATACATCCAATGTGGAAAACTGTCTTGAGTATATTCTGCTTCACTTAAGCTTTAGCAGGATACTGCAATATTTGTTGAGTGAAGAAATGAATGAATGAAGGTAGGCCTAATGATTTTCTTTGCTGAAAAATCATGAATACTGACCTTAATATTTTTCTCTGCAGGAGGACACTGACCCTCTAGTATTGAGACCAAAAGGGAGAGGCTTACCTCTGCTACTCTTGTTGGTCCCTTCAGTGAAGACATCTTCATCCTCAAAGCATCTCTTATCTGAAGAAGCAATGACAGTGAAGAAATGACAATATCCCCAATGCCTAGTTCATGTCCTGCAACTGGGAGACCAGTCACACTGGCAGAAGCAGCATCAGATGGCTTAGCACAGTGGTTGACAAATAATAATGCTTAGATAATTGTTAAGGTGTGGTGTAATGAGATTTACTATTAAGATTTAAATTGTAGGTATGGTTTTAATTGTTTTCATCAACTGTACTCACATAGAGCCTCCTGTTGACTTGATGATGTGCTGGGAATGAGAGAATAGAGTTCTCTCCTTTCCCACTCACAGCTGATGCCCTGAACCCCACCCCCTAACTCAACTCCCCTGAACCATGCTCTCTAAGGAAACCTGCTTCTTCCTTCTGCTTCCCTCAGCCACATGAAAATAATTTACAATGAGTGAAACAAATTCAAATTACCTTGTGATCCATAATGGTTCCAAACAGCAAGATGAAGAACCCCTGTGGCAAAATTCAACAGAAGTATGAGGGAAAGTTTTGCAGGCAACGTATCAGCTGTTATGTTACTACCACTCTTCTAGATACCTTCTAGGACTGTTATCAGACATTCAAAGCTTCACTTACCACTGATTCAGAGAAAAATTCATTGATGTGTATTTTCTTGAGTGCACCTCAAAGAAAGAGGATCACCTTCATGTCTGTGCATGATGATGATTTTCATTTATTAAATGGCTATAGATGTAGGATAGAGTTTTCAACCTTATTAAATCTGTTTACTTTCCTTCCAAATATTAAGTGAGCTGTTCTTACTCATGATGACAGTGAGACATGTCATGGGATCTTGCAACTCAAAGTCACAATAACAGAAGGTATCTTGAGGAGATGAAACTTGTATTCTAGACTATTTTCACACCAGATTCTCTGGGCTGGTGGAAGAAGTTTTTGGATAAAAGAAAAACTACAGAAACCGATAAGGTCAGAGTCTCCTCAAGTTTAAACAGTTGGTCACCTATACAGTCACAATCATTGGAAGCCAATCTTTTTAAATGTTGGGAGTTGATGTCCAAGAAAAATCTGGATCTCGCCATGAGAGTGGAGATAATCTGGGGTTTTCATGGTGAAGAAACACTGTTCAGAAGACTGAAACTGTAAAATGTGAGTCACAAGTGTGTGTCTTAGTATTTTTCTTTCTATCAAGAAAGGAGACAAATAAATGATCTGAACCAAACCACAGAACATTCTGAGGTTTAATTAAGTTGCAAAGTAAAAATAGGATGAGGTCATTAGTCGCCAGAGTAACTGGTGGAAATCCTCTCTCCTCCAGACTTGGGGAGATATAATGTGAGTGTAAGAAATTTTGATTTCAAAAAACAAGCAAACAAACAACACAACAACAAAACAACACTTAAGTCAAAGGTTTCTCTTTAAAGTAATGCAAGGGAACGAGTGAAATAAATAGTCTCTATAGTTATTAAAGACTTATGAGTAAGATATATAATTCATCTGAGTTGGCTTGTCTTTAAAGCTTGCTTTATATTTTAAATGCCAAATTTCTAAATATAGTAGCGATGACATGTTAATAGGAACACTTTGCTGCTTTATTATGCAGTTATTATTTAAATACTAGTCAATTTTTTTTCTTTTTGCTTAAAACAAGCAGATAATAAATATGTTAGGCCTTGAGGGTATACAGTCTCTGTTACCACTACCTCAGCTTTGCCATTGTAGCTCCAAAACAGCCATGGGCAAAATGTAAATGATTGAGTATGGCTGTGTTCCAATAATACTATTTACAACAGGCAACAGGCCATAGTTTGCCAACCCCTGATTAAAAACATAATTAAGAATATAAACTTGCCAGATTTTCTGTTACCCATAGGTATGGAAAGCAGCCTGGCTAATGACAGTTTCCCACATGTGTAAGCTTAGCAGCCAAGATGAAGTAAAGCAGCTCTTAGAGGGATCATCGTGCCAATCAAGTATGTTAAGGAATAAAAGACAGTAGAGATCATATTAAATCCATCCTTTTTATCTTAAAGGTGGAACGATGAGAGAAGTGTCTTTCCTAGGATCAGGTCACACGTGGCAGGATTTCGTTCTATGAATGGCAACCTACAATTACATACAGGGGATAGAGGCATGGAAACCCCTGACTGGTTAACACTCAAAGAGAATGGCACAATCATGGAAAATGATTCATTTCACTGAGTTCTCAAAATACTTGAGAAAGAATAAAAATTGTGCTTGTTTGGAGGCATGACACGTGAGTGTAGCCTCACACACATCCCTGACCTACTAGTCCCCATAAGTGCAGGTCAACTTCTTCTGCCACGGAAACTTTAGGAGGGATCCAGGTGGATCAGTGAGGAGAGAAGGAAGTAATTTTTCACCCAACCAGCTTGATCAGTTCAATGCAACTTGATAATCAACAGGGTGAGAGATGCCACAACTAAATGTCACAGCGGTTCTCAACCTTCTGGCCCTTTAAATACAGTTCCTCATGTTGTGACCCAACCGTAAAATTATTTTCGTTGCTACTTCATAACTGCAATGTTGCTACTGTTATGAATCGTAATGTAAATATCTGATATGCAGGATGGTCTTAGCAACCCCTGTGAAAGGGTCGTTTGACTGCCAAAGGGGTCGTCGTGACCCACAGGTTGAGAACCGCTGCTCTAAGATATGGAGGGAAATGGAAGAAATATTTTGTGTTCTATATTTTTAAATCATAGCCTTTTTTTGGATAACAAATTATAAAATAATATTTTATAAGTGAACTATTAATTGATAACATTAATTAATAAAGTAAGTCTCCCTCTTGGAACTTACCTGGAAAGCGTTGAGCAGGGCAAAGATTATGTGGAATATCAAGGAATTGCCTTTGATGAGAGTGGCTACTCCAAAACCCCAGGTCAGTCCCAGCAGTGGGGTGAGGATGGCAACGTTTTTACTGATCCTCCTAATTATGGCCACATCTTGAGACTTGGAACTGCCGATAAAGGGCCTCTGAGTGTTGACCGCAACAACCAAAACCACAAGAAGATTCACAGCCACGATGACCAAGGCTGGGATGGCGAATGCTAAAAGGGCTTTGGTGTTGTCCCAGTTAAGCCAACAGGCATCGTGTCTCATGTAGCCTTTCTCTGGCATTGTGATAGCAACGGTGGTGCCGGCGATGATCAATGGGAACCCATAGCCAATGACAAAGCCAATGGCCATCATGCGGGACTTCATCATCCTATGAAAAACGACCAATATTCCATAGATGATGAGCAGGGCTTTGAAGAGCATCCAGAAAAACAGAGAGAGGTAGAAAAAGTGGCTAAAAAATGTCATTGCAATACACCAGTTGTGGTCCTGGGCCTTTTTGCTAAAGTTGGAGGATATGATGAACCACACATTAGCAGTCAGGAGCGACACGGCTATGTTCACGATGCACACGTGGCGCATGTATGATATCTCTGTCACAACAACCCGGGACCACACCGTAGCTTCAATGAGCAGGCAAAGAACCAAGCTAAGGATGGAGACACTGAGCCCAATGCAGGTGATGTAGTCCAGGATTTTGTCATCTATAGATATGGGGGACATTAGAATGGAAAAAGACATCACTGCAT